ACTTTAGAACATTGGGAATGGTAATTGAGCTAGCTTGTCAATGGCAATTGTAATGTTAAAGAGCAACTTCCAGGTTAAAGACACCTGTGAATAAATGTGTAGGAAAATGATGAATACAATAGATTTTCTAAAAAATATACAGAAATATACACTACAGTGACATCTGGCATTGTTTTAGTAAGACATTTTTACTTCCGCATAAAAAAGCCTCCACACGTGACCTCCCGCGTGTGACGTGACATGGGGGAGAGCGGCCGGTCTAATGTATGAATAAACATGGATCACAATGCTAGTTTTGACACAGAAGAGGTTGAAAATATATATTCGAATGCATATGATTATAATTATGAGCCTGCTAGGCGTCCAAGAGACCAGGAGCAGCCAAGGATTAGAAGAAATAACGGCCATCGGCGAGAAATGGAGCTTTGGTGTGAGGAGAACCAGTGGAGAACAGGGCCGCTGTCTTGGTGAGTGACCGGCGTTAGCTACAGACAGACAGTCAGTCACATCACAACATTGTAAAGTTAGCTATCATATATCAGGCTATAACTAAAGTGGTATTGATAATATAGTAGTGTTACTGGCAGGACTGTTGATACTGATCCATAACAGAAACAACAGCGCAAGTATCAGCCGTATCCTGCGCTACCTAATGCAACTCCACACTACGTCTTACGGTGCGGTGTACCGGAGGGGAGAGAGAGAGAGAGGAGCGAAGGGGGGAGAGAGATGTAATACGGTTTCAGCTGTTGAGAGTATGTGCTGCAGGGAGGTGGATGCACCTCGCACAATGCACCCAGGAACGAACGCTAGCTCCGGTCCTTTTCCTGTAAGGGAAACTGTGGACTCGATGTCCTGACAGGCTGGAGTTTGTGCAACCTGCACAAAAACAAGCTCACCATGATTAAAAATGGTGAAATGCAATGTAAAATTACCGAAAAAATACCAGCTCACTAAATCACAACCGCTCAAACCATCTACAAACTACTACCGCGGATTGGGCAGAGAAGGAGTCAGAGAAAGTTGCTCCCCCATGTTTTTAGTAGCAAAGCTCAAAATTGCTCCTTTCCCTCTGAATTCCTGCCCTTGTAAAACATATGAAATCCTGCATTAACTTTTTGAATTGTAATTTTCAGGCAAGGTTAAGCATAAATGTAGTAAAAAAAAAAACCCTGCAAGTTGCTCTTTAACCCCCAGGGAGGGCAAGTACAGTGCGTTCAACAGTGACCTCAGGATTGGATTTTCGTCATTTTAGGGGCAAGGCCATTTGGCCTTTGGTGTCACACATTTTTTCAGGGCGCAAAGGCCACATGCCAGGGCACAAAGACCATTGAGGGTAACATTTGGATCTGGAGCTTACAAATAAATAACTTCACTTTCTGATAAGAAAAACACACGAATGACATGGAAAAAAAATCACTTTTTTAATATCAATAATGTCAAACATTATATCATCATATGGGCCTCCTATAGTATTACTGCATATAAAATGAAATACTCTACTTTGAATAATTAGTGTTTGGTATGTTTTCCATCTACTACTTCTCCCATTCACAAATCCAAAAGCAAATCAAATAATATAAAATTCTATTAATATGTAACAAATATATTCAATTTCAGAGCAGAAGGGTCAAACTCTGCACACATCATTCAGCAGTGTACTTTGAAATGCAAAAGTGTGTGTGTGCGCACGTGCGTGCGTGCGTGCATGCGTGTGTGTGTGTGTGTGTGTGTGTATCTTTAATCAACTCCTCACAGCTCCTCACATCTGTTCAGAAACTAGAAAAAAAATTAAACATGTACAAACCACAGACTGTCTCTGTCATGGTGAATACAGTCGCTGGTTTAATTCTGTCTTTAGGACGTTGTTGTGAGTTTGGACGGAGCAGATACAGGTTAGTTTAGCCCAGTGTTTCTCAAACTTTTTCTGTCAGGCCCCCCCTTTGGAGAACATTTTTTATTGGGCCCCCCCAACACAAATAGTCAAGCTCAGATATTTATTTTGGGGTGCTGTGGGGTAGCTTGACGTTCATAGAGGGTGCTCAAACATTTAGGGTTTCCCATTAATGTACCGGTCGCTACAGTGGAATTTTCTACTGCAACAATCCCCACGCATATGTGGGGACGCACAGTGTGACAGTTACAATGAAGGCTCGAGGAATATAGGTGTAAGCAGGGGTAAAGTGCTATTTTTATAGGTGGTGTGTGGACCTCACATAGGGGGGTCCGGGGGCAAGCTCCCCCGGGAAGAATTATTTTTAAATATTGAAGTTAAAAGCATTAATCTGGAGCACTTAGAGAGCAACATGAAGAGATCTATAGATACATCTCTCAACACCCATATGAAACAGAACTGTAAACAGATTTACTTTTTCTTTATGGATATTTTACAAATCAGAAGTCATCCTTTTAAACTTTATTCTTTTTTTACTGTCATATAGTATTTCATACGTGTTTTTCATTTATTCTCTTATTTTTTTATAACAATAATGATCATATAAACCACAGCAACCCAGCTTTCCGGGTGTCCCCCAGACTATGGTCGGCGGATTTTGTTTACATTCGTCACGACGCCCCCCTACGGCCCCCTTACGACTACTGCTCATGTGTTTCCAAGTCGTTGGAGTTGAACTCCCGTCTCTCGGCACTACAATACAAACATGATACATATTAGCATGTTGACTAATGTTATTGTTTTTTAACTATATAATTATTTTCTCATACATTTGTAATTGTATTATAAAATCAATGCACTACCGCATGTTTTGGTTTTCATATTTGTGTGAATACACAAGTTGTATTATGGATTTTACATTTTGTTTTCTATTTTTCCCTTTTCATTATTTGACAAATAACACATTTTCAGCCATGAAAAACGTATTTACTTCAAAGTTTGCTTCAATTTTTAAAGGGGTATGAGTAACCGCATCATATGATTTGATATAACGGTCAGCGTAAAACTTTGCAAAGCATGAAAAGCAGAGCGCTCTGACATCATTAAACAGTGATTCGATAAGAGGACCTCAATCATCATCTTCATAATCATCGTCGTCATCATCATCATCATCATCATCATCACTCATCATCATCATCATCATCATCATCGACTATATCTCCTACAGAAGCCCTGAAGGATATATAGTCTGTAATAATAACAGTAACTATAACAAAGGTGTGTGCGTGTGTATATGTGTGTGCCAGATTATTCCAGATGTTGGACCGTTTATGTGCTATGTTACTGTTTGTGATTTTTGTGGGAGCCTTTGGATCAGAGAACACTGAATACTGTGAGATGCTGGGAGACCCAGTGTTTCCTCTATTATCTAAGGATGGAGATATTACAATTGGAGGAGCTTTCTCCATCCATAGCCAAATATCGAAGCCTTCTCTCTCCTTTACAGATGTTCCAGAAGCTCTCACATGCTCCAGGTACCGTTTCATTGTCTCTTTTCTTGTTGGTTGGTTTCACATAACAGAATAAATAGTCATATTAGTAAGAAAGCTGTTAGTTAAAACAATTGTTTCTCTTTTCAGAATACACTTAAGAGAATTTCATTTTGCCCAAACAATGATTTTTGCCATCCAGGAGATCAACAATAGCACCTCATTGCTGCCTAATATCTCGATTGGTTATAAGGTATTTGACAGCTGTGGTTCAACACTGACTTCAACGCAAGCAGTGATGGGTCTATTGAATGGACAGGAAAGGACTTTGGGTAAAACATGCTCAAGCCAGTCATCTGTTCATGCCATCATCGGAGCCTCTGATTCCTCCTCAACAATTGTGATGCTACAAAGTTCAGGGATTTTCCAAATACCAATGGTAAATATTTGTAATATTTCATGTTTGGACTGATTTCCAAATTGTTTTTGCAAAAGGCTTACCATTTTGTAGATCTGGCATATAACAACCATCAACAAAGACTTAATACTGGTATTATTGTGGTTTGTTTCAGGGCTATGTTTAGGTTGGGATTAAAGGGTTTGCACATATACAGATTTGAGGAAAAAGCAGACATT